TGGGTTGATGAACTAGCCTTCTTACCCTTCTGGTTTCCATCGCTTCCACGTTTATTCTTGAAGAAAAGTGACTCGAAAATGCCAGGTCTTCATCCCCGGATTCAGCAGATTTGGCTGATTTTGGGCCCTTTTGTTTGGATGAGTTCGGTAGTAGTAGCCAAGCGCTTTTTGCCCTTTTGGCAGCTGGTTCACGCCTAAAAAGCGCCTCGAAGGCTCTGCTCCTCTCCATCCCTGATGCTCTCGCCGTCACCGGACTCTGATAAATCTTCCAATGATGGTCCAGGAATTGCCGCCGGGCGGAGTTGTCGCTCTCGAAACCACATTCAACAACGGTTTTCGTGTAATTTTGGCTCGGCAGCCCAGCATCTCGTTTAACTCTTCATAATACGTGAAAGATTCACGGTCGTTTCCGCTTTTGTTGTTGTGGTCCTTCACACGTTTGTATTCGTCTGCGAGGTTCTTGATCTTGGACTTGCACTGGGCTGCCGTGCGGATGGACGTGAGTCCCTGTTCCCTCAAGAGACTATTCAGTTCTCTGGCAATAGATTCCCACACAGCTGAATTTTGCCTTTTGCTAATTGGATGGTGATCCTTCCAGGTTTCGATAAGAAAACGTATTTCTGCATCCGACCAGTTGGGGGAGCGACCTTTGGTACTGGTATCATTGCTGGAATTTTCAACCCTGGGGCCTTCACTTACACCACTTACACCACTTTCACGCAGGAATGAATCAAAAATAGCAGGCGTGTTGTATTTCCGATTTGACAGCCCTGTCAAGTTAATAACCACAAACGACTCCTAATTGGCCGAAATTAATTACCAACTCGCTTAAGCTACCTGGTTTAGTGGCTTAAATTTAATGAGAATTCCATTGAAGTTTGCCGACTCGCTTAACTTTAAGCGGGTTGAAAAAACAACTGTTTTCACGGGACTTCCGCTTGTCACTCGCTGAGCGACCTGAAAAACCGCTCGTGAAAACACGGCCTATGCGTGGTACCTTGTAATGAGATTAAAGTTGGACCATTGTTTTGTTTCTTGGATGAGCTGTTAAGCTGTCTGCCAAAGAAATTGGCTTTTATGTCTTGTATCTTCTTCTCTTTTGTGTATCCTTTTTTGTCACACTGTGCTCTGGTCATATTCAAATGCTGTACTAAGTAGAGGTTAAGCTGTGACACGTAGAGTTTGTCTAAAGAGTTCTCAGAGATGTGTTTTTCCCAGTCAATATCTTGGTACGATTTTGCCTTTTCCACAGCTTTCACACTTGCTTTGGACTTCTTGATTATTTCAGATTTGACCTTTAGGTTATATCTTCTTCTAATCTCATTTTCTGTAGTCTTCCGAAGATCCTCACCAACAAATTTCTCCACAAAACTGTCCAGCTGCTCATCTAAAGTTTGCAACATTTTATTATTGTCTATGCAGCTTACTGACACAGAACCATCTTCATGGGTAAACTCTTTTAGTTGTAAGTCTGGTTCACGACAAGATTCAAACAGCTTTTCAAGTTGCTTGCGTGGGCAAAAGTCATTTAGTTCCCTCTTTGTGGCATCTTTGACTATGTCTTTCTTCACACCAAACTTTTCACAGACATCACCATTCCATGTTTGTTGGAGGGTGCAGTAATGGAAGGAGGAGGTCTCGGAATGATCTGGTACAGGAGGAGGTACACGCTGGACTGACTCACCCCGCCAGCAATTTGAAAGAAGTGCCTTATTCTCAATGTTTTGGTGAAATTGACACATTTGCTTTCCCTGTTCGATGCATCCATTTCTTATTCCTTCACAGCCATTGTCATATAAATAGTAGTGGCTGTGAAAGAATTTGTGTACAAAGTTGAAGTAAGCAGAGCCTGCACATAATTCAAGGTTGGAGGCCGATGATGCATTGGTGCAGCATTTCTGCATGTACTCTTCATCAAAGAAAAATGTCAAATGCCGTTGAAGTGATGGTAGTCTTGAATGAATTGATGTGCCCATGCAGGTTTTACCACTAAATCGTTGACTCACCTGCTTTGCACACTCAATAGCAGCATTTTCCATTTTCTTTTCTTTTGCCTTTTTGAGTTCATCCTTGGATAATTCAGATAAGCTATCCAGAACAGAGGAGTCATCATAACGTACTGCAATTGCTCTTCCATCCCCTAGACATTCATTGAGGGAACGCATCACTTTTTCTGCTATGTGACAAGCAGAGTCACCTGAAAGAAAGATATTTAAAATTAAAAAGTGTATTCAACAAGTGAAAGTTTTTAGTATGCTGTACATACTGTGGAGGCACAGTGGCCTTGTGGTTAATAACACACTGGGCTCTCAAACAGAAGGTTTTTTTGTTTGAACCTGGCCTCTCCAAGTGTACATGTTGATACTTAAATGGACATAGACCTGTGCATACAATGTTAATGGAAAAAAAACTTCATGGCAGTGTACATTTCTTAAATGCCACAAGTCAATATTTCATTCTTTATATTACAGAATTTTAATATACCACAAGATTTATTACCTGGTGCATAATGAAACCTAGCTTGGAGGTCCAGCCCATTGATCATAAAACATTCAGCTAGACGAAGTTGGCTCATCTTCTCATTTGTAGAAACCCCGGGGCCAGCATCAGTTGTTTGAATGTCAATAGGTCTATGGGATATTATCAAAAAGAACATCATTAATTTAATATTGCACCCTTTACAGTGCACTGTATACAGATACACAACAGTAAATTTTAATTTGTAATTCACAATTACAATAGATATGTTGTGGTTCAAATTTTTCCTTGTTTTTAAATTTTTCAAACCAGTTTTTGATTTTTCTTAATCTTGTATTCATTATCATAATCTTGAACAAAGGAAAATGAAGATCAAATTAGTTTAAAAAAATTTAAACCAAGGAAAAATTTGAACCACAACATATATAATATATAAAATAACTTGAACTAACTTGTGTTGAGGCAGACCACTGGTCTCAAGATGGATTCTAATTTCTTTACAGCTTGCAGTAGCTGCAGAGTAGGATGTATTCTGTGCTTCAGCAGAAAGTACCTCATGATGTGCAAGCATCTCAGCTATGACAAATTTAAGAATAATAAACTGTATACCTTAAATATAAAAGCATCTTATATGTAATTAGCCTTGGTGAAAGGGCACATGATAGCTCATGATACTTAAGAATTCAAAACTCAAAACTATCATAATCTTTTATCAATTATTAAAAACTTGCTATGTTACATGTATATTGTGAATCCTGATGTTTGATTGGTTGATAGGCAATCATATATTAAAGGGGGGGATACTAACAATATACTTAATATGTATTATATTATAAATCACATTTTATATAAAGATGTTTTGTTTAAATACCAATTTTGGAGAGCTGCCCTTTCAAATTCATGATCATCACACAAATTGGCTGTACAGATTCCACACAGTTCAGTGCTGAGAGACATATGTCCAGACGTTTAATCAAGACATCATGACGCAATTTCTCTCTAGCCAAATGATCACCTCCCTCACAGGCTCGGAGATAATCATCTGGGATGCTCATCAGCTCATACTGTAGGAGGGTGTCTCTTAGCATAACCAAGACATCCAGAACTTCATCTGGGAGGGTTAATTGACATTCTCTTTCCACCTCATGTTCTTTGCGCGTACAATACCGGACAAAACATGTCATTTGCCCAATTTGTTGCAGAGCTGGGGTACACATGTTTTGGCTTACAGGTAACTGTGACGGTGACATCTGTCGGGGTGAACTTGTCCCTGCCTTGGTGTTCAACTTCCTCCATTTCATTGACTAAAAGGATAACCCCTGGAGAGACGTATCCCACAGTATCAGGATAATCACTGGATGGCATTTCAAATGGTGTTGTAGCTGGCTGGATGGGACGATGGAGTGGGTGTGAAAATCCCTCTGAGGTGCCACATCTGACATAGGCCTTATCATCCATAGCTCGGCGTACAACATATTTGGACAAATCTACTGAAGACTTTCCAAATGCAAGTCTGGTATAGTATTTAATATGTGCACGGTTATAATGGACATTGACATGCCTTTGCCCTGACTTCTTCTGTGATTTGACAAATGCCCAAAGGTTTTGGCCACGGTGTTGTTTGGCTTGGCGACTAGATTTGTTCCGTGGCCTTCCCCATGACCTCACAGTTTCAGTACTCTTAATGAGAGGAAGACCCTTGGCAGCAAGATACTTATTGGCAAGTCTCCTCATCTCCCTTTTATGAAGCCTTTTCTCATCAGCTTCAATATAACCTGTGCCCTCATCTCCCCAACGCCTTCTGTGTGCTTTGAGCTGCTCAGCCAGTACAGAGTAAATTACACGTTCAGCACCTCTATTTATAGTGTACTTGCCCAGCTTCTTTGCACTTTGTACTTTTAGGGTGTTTTTCCATTTAGAAAAGTGTTTCTTTGCAAATTATGACTTAAAATGTTTGGCATTTTGATGCATGTCATTCAAACGTCTCTTTTTGTTCCCTATGTCAAATTCCCTCTCATCAATCTCTTCCTCACAAAGGCGCTTTCGTTTTCTTTCCAACATGCTTTCGCATTTTTCAATGCTATTGCCAGTTTTGTAATTGTTTCTGAAAACTCTGACTCTGAAAAACAGGTAGACCTACTTGTTTCAATCTCTGCCTGTGTGATGAAGTCTTGGACTTCTTTGCTTATTGCATTTGCAGTTTTGGAAGTGTATCCAAATGCATACCTCAGCTGACTGTTGGAATAAATGGCACCCAGCACAAACTGAAGTATAGCTCTGTCCTTCGCAGATGACATCAAATTCATGATTGTCTTCAAATAACCTGATATTGCTGAAGGTATTTCTAGGGTTTCTCGCTCATCTGTGTCCAACACCTTATCTATGCTCTTCCAGAGAGGTATGAAATCTGGAGGCTTTTCTTGTAGACATACAAATCTAGGACGATATACAGAATAATAGTTATATAAAGCTTAAATTATAAAAGCGGCCACAACACAATACAATAGGCTCTCTCCCCCCATTTATAAGTGCCCATTGTCAATAAAGCCCCATCCCCTCCTCATATACTTAAAGTTTTTATATTATCTTGGCATCAATTCTGTTGCACAAATCACAGTTTAAGATATAAAGTTTGTTGAAAAAACATGACATGTTCCCACTTTTCGAGCAAGAGCTCTCCATTTTAATACTTTATATATAAAATATAACAAAACCAAACAACCCTACTCCCCCCTCCCCCATATAAATTCTGAACTATAAAATACCTTTGTCCTTTAGCATGGGCGATGATCACTGGAAGTCCGCTTTTCGATAAAAGCGTATGTCGAAACACAACTCTTGCACTTTTTTGGTCCTGTGAAAGTGCCACGGTACTAATTTTAGCTGCATAGTCCTGGTATGCTGCTTCAAATGGCAGGCAGGGATTTACGCTCAGCTCATCTAGAAGACTGATCCAGGAATCTATTCTGGTTCTTGATAATTCAGATATTGTCGATCGCGATTTCTCTAACAACATTTCACGAGCTTGAGTAACAGTCATGTTACACACTGATACTTCTATATTCTTGAAACCAAGGAAAGCTGAATTGAAATTTCGACGAACATCTCTTCCCCTTGTCATTGGCCCCATTTTCCCGATCAAATGTCGAGTAAGACTGAAAACAAGACTTCATTGTATTTGGCAACCTGGCCTTTTTCCAAGATGGCGGACGTCGAGGAAAACACTGTCAATGATCGTGATGATCAGTTTTTGTCCTTTCTAAAGAAAACGTCCCTCGAAAACTTTAAAGATGCTTTTATTAAGCAAGGTGTAGAGAAAATTGAACATTTACAGGATATAGACGAGGAAGATGCGAAAGAATTTGGGTTAAGCAAAATCCAGCTAAAGAGGTTGAAACGGGAGTATGCTCTTTGGAACGCAGAGAAGACAAAAAGTGCACCACCATCATCAAATGCTACATGTTCTACTGGTACCACATCTTACAAGACATCCAGTTCCTCTGTGGTGCTGTCCTTACGGCCCGGATTTAAGGACTTTTTTCACACCAGAGATGGCCAAGGAAATATCGTGGTTTCTTCAAAAGCCTTGAAGGTTAAATACCAGAACCTCTGGTATGATAACCCACTGAACCCGTTTCAAACTTTCTCAAATACATTTATTTTACAAATGGCAGAATACAGGATGCAGTTTTCAAAGTCTCTTAGAGAATGCGAACTTTGGTGCAGAAGAATGCGCCAACAGCGAATTTCCCTGATGATTGCCTCAGTACAAAAGTGTGCATTATCAAAGTGGACCCCATATTACAGAGGCCGAAGCGTTTTGGGGGCTACATCAGCAGATGTGTGAGCGCTACCCTCAAGTTCAAAGCTGCTTGGAGGCTGAAGATGGGCAGGAAGTCCCACGGAATATGTACGATTCCCTGTGCAAATTTACCGAGGGCATAGAAAAGGTGCATAATTTGGCAAAGGAAGCAAGGCAACAGTGCGATGAGCAGATCGCATTCTGTGGCACCCCTGTCAAAGAAGATGAGCATGAATACACTTGTTATATAAAATATCAGTTTTTATGTATCCATGCATTCACAGGAATCACTTTAACAATAATTTCTTCAACTCCAATAGTACATGTACTGAGATGTATATATGAAATTATATGAAAGTCGTGTTTTTGTACCGCGGCTATCCGCAGTACGTCAAATATATGAATTTTATATATTCATCTCATATCCTCTCCATCTACGGGTATATAACGAACTCACAAATGGCCAAACCCCTTGGCTTGATAGCTCAGTGGTAGAGCGACTGCACCGGTATCGCAGAGGTCATGAGTTCGAATCCCGTTCAAGCCTTAATTTTTTTTCAGGCTTGCTTTTCTCAACTGCTTTAAGTTGGGTACATTACTGCGAAGATATTTCATTTGCTTAAAAATTACATGTACTGTTTATCAATTTCTATGTTCACACTGTTCACTGCACCTTGTTCGACCATAGTGATGGCAAGGGTTTCTCCCCACCCCTGACCACCCTTCTTACCCGAACCCCAAATTGTTCTCAACCCTTTTCGGGGTTGTGGAACCCTCTTCGAAAGGGGACCACCCAATGGGTTCCGGAACCTGCCGGAGTATCGCCCCTTCCCCTTTGGCATATCTCGTGGAAGAGAATCGCCTAGGAGTAATGGAGTCCACACCATGATTTTTGAATTTCAAACAAGGTTTAATCACATTGCCTTACAAATTACAGCAATGGTGGCCCTAATGGCCCAAAACGGAAAGAAAACTAAGCGGCAGTGTGTCACTTCTATCTCAAATAGTGCATGCGCCTAAGAAGGAAAGTGGAATGCTAAAAATGTGCACACTAGTTTTGGTTCCCCTTTGCCAACTGACTGAGGACCTCGTTCTGGTCGGAAATAAGCTTTGCAAGTGCTTGGTGGGGCTTCGCTTTGTTTTTCTTGTGTTTATGTTTCTTAGAGGTGGTCACTGCCTCCTCGACAGGCTCGGGTACTTCCGCTTTGTCCTTTCTTTTGTTGCTGGAGGTTGTGACTACAGCTGCCTGCTCAGGGGATGGGGATCGCTTACGTTTCTTATGTTTTTTCTTGGGCGGTGTCGCCTGCATCATGAACAGCTCAGCCTCTTCTTCTTCGTCGTTGTCGACGTTGACCACATGTCTCCTGTTCTTGGCAACAGATGGTCCGTTGAGTGGCCTTTTGTTCTTCTTTGCTCTGCTGTTTGACGGTTCATTGTCTTGGGAGAAGTCCTCTTCTTCGTCCAGAGGGCTTGGCTGATATCTGGTTTTTTGTCTTGGCGTCGCCAGAGGGAGACTATTATGAGCGATTGGTCAATATGGTGGCCTCCTCAGAGCTGCACCGGCATTAGTTGGTCTGCATAGATGGGCTGCAGCAAAGAGATGGCCGATTTCCTCCTCACTCTGGAGAGGCCGACATAAGCAGTACAGGCTGGAACCAACGCTGAGTCCAGCCAGACGATGAGATGTTAGATGTTTTGGCCCGGAGCTTTTATGATGGTTTGGGCATGTGCTGGCGTAAAAGGGTAACGTGTGACCGGGCCGTCGTCCTCCATATGTGTGACTGGGTACACGAAAACCTGTTGTCCTTCAGGCAGACGGAGGATGATAGTGTTATTTTGAGAGAATAAGATGGTGGCTTGTTGACTGTTCATGAGACAGGCGGCCTTATCGCACTTCTCCGTGAATATCACGCTCATGTTCCTGTGCGGGAAGATGGGCTGAGAGTCCGCTACACAGGCACAGGGGATGTTGGTCAGAGGGTGTCCCTGAAATAGTTGGCCCACAACGATGGTGTTAATCCGTTGTGCTCCTTTGCGGGAGACTGTCATAACAGTGCTGTTGGGATGGCTCTGGAAGGCTGTCCGGATTTGACGGTCTGTCAGCTGACCTTCAGGGCAAAGAACAATGCCGTCCTGCATTTTGTCCACCTGCTCCTGGGTTGGGCGTATGAACCGTATGAGGTCCAGAAACGCGGCATATTTGGGATCGACGATTCTGAATTGCTGGTGTAAGCGATGAATGACTGCGTTAGAGGAAGAGAAGGTGGCGTTATTGTTGATTATGGAGGTGGTGGAAGTGATGCGGCCATTGACGGTCTGCAAAGGTTGTTGCTGACACTTGTCACCTGCCAGGACCACAACGGGGCGAAGGTTCATCCGATTAAGCGTGAAGGCCATTACTCCAAAGATAGGTGGGGAGATCATCGACGCCTCGTCAGCAACAATCAGGTCATACTGATTACTGCGATGGTTGATTTCGTTCAGGAGAGGCCCATCAATGGGTATGCTAAAAGCACCATGAAGAGTATCGGTGGTGACGTCTTCGTAGAAAATGGAGTTGTAGCCTTGGGCCAGCAAGGCTACAGGAGCGGCTACTAGGACTGACAGTTCATGGCGAATGGTGTAAGAAATGGCGCGGATGAGTACTTGTGATTTGCCTGTGCCAGGCTTCCCCAAAAGAAGACGGTATTTTTGCCAGCTGGAGTCAGAGGCGGCAGGATGGTTGTCGTCGAACACAAGATTGGCGGGAAGAAAGGGCGGCTGTGATGTCTGCGAGTATGGCGGTTTGATGAGGTGAAAGCGGATAGAGGGAGTCCAAAGAGAGAGAGGAGAGGTCCCCGACTTGATTAGTGATGACACGATTGCGCCAAAGGTAGAGGATGTCATAAAATGACTGAACGTAAGAGACGATTGTGTTGATGAAGTAAGCCTTATGACCCTCGTGTTCAAATTCAGCAGTGATGGTCTCCGCTGTATCCCAGTTTTGTGGGGTGAAGGCAATGGACTGTGCAAAATGTTTGATCGTCTCAGGCATGGTGTCTTCCTCAGCATGTCTCAATTGCTTGGCCTCGCGATGCGGGAAATTCATGGTCAAGTGTTGGTAAAAGAATATGGGATTGAACAGAGAGACGTACTTGACACCCACCAGGACCCGGTCGTCCGTGTATGGTTTGGGCTTTGCACCAGATGTTTGGTGGTACCTCAACCATTGTAAGAGAGTCTGGTCCTCTTCAGTTGGTGGACGCTGCAGATACATTTTGTACACTTTGTTCCCCTCCGTCTGATCTGGAAATGGTGGCCTGAACAACACTGTGCACTTGTCCGTCCAGCAGACCTTGATGTTCGACAGCTGAAATACTATCTCCGGTGCGAGGGGTGTTACCGTGCGAAGTAATGAATGGGCGGCCTGATAGCCAGTGACATGTGTGCAGTAAAGACCCTCAGACGTGGCGCTTTCATGCTTTTTTTTTGACATAACTGCTTACGTATTTGAGAAGAAGGGCCTTTCCATCTACCAATTGGACGTCGGTTTGGCAATGGAGGGATCCCAATAAGGTGGTGATAAGGCGCGTATGTGTCGCTCAGTGTCGTCTTCAGTGTGCTGCAACTGCAGGGTATGTCTTCCATTACGTTCGGTGATGAACGAACTCGGATACTCACGAACGGGTAGGCAGGCGTCTCGTGCGTTTCCCCAGGGCACTGAGGCATGAAGAAGGTCTGCTCTGGTGGCGGAAATGTCCTTTACTCAGATGAGCATATGAAGATGAAGAGTGCCGCGTTTCTGGAGCTCAAAGCGGTAAAAAAAGGTTTGTAAGTTTTGGAAGTTGGGTGTTGGAGATTAGTGAATACATTTGTTCGCCATCGATTGCAATTTCCGCCAGTGAGGTATCCCCGGGCGATTTGTTCCAGGACGTGTGCGATGTGGAGAGTTTCAATGGTCGGGGTTTCCGTGATGTCCTTAAAGTAACGAGATCTCATTTCCTCGAGAAATGGCGGAAAAGGAAATGTCCATTCATACGGACTAATTGTAATGAAGAATGAAGGGTAACTATATTGGCGCACGGCATCTATTAGATACAGGTTTTGATGTTGCCAGAAGGTCTTCGAAAATAATTTATTTTCTAAGCTGTGATTGGGCGAGCAACCGGAGGCCTTGGAGGCATTGACTGCACGAGTAATGGTCTTAAACAGCCACCGGTCGTACTGGTACTGTGAGATCTCAAAGTTGATGGAAAAGTCGTGGACTGGTGACAACAGCGTGCGCATAAAGGCGATTTTCCCAGTAGCCCGATTGTCCTGGCCTTCGAGTATACTCTCACAGAGGGAAGTGGTGTGGTACAGGGCAGGCCACAGAGCGCACTCTACACCCCGGTAAAGTGGAGAGGAAAAGATTTCGTAAAGGAATGGTGGTCGTCGGTGCATGAGAATGAAACGGGAGTAAGAGCTGTCTTCCTTCATTAGCAACAGGTCGTAGACTTTCTGGAGGAATGATCGTCTGCATGGATCCTCAACAAGACAGATCTTCTGTTGTACCATTTGTTTGCACCAGGATATCCGAAACAGTCCCGTTCTCTGGCGGTAGCCGTTAAACATGCAGATGTAGTCGCCACAGTGGATGTCAAATGGACTGAGGAGCCGCTGATCTTCTATGGTCAGGTTCCGCAAGAGGAGAGGGACATCATCAAGGTCAGGAACGACATATGTGGCATTACTGCACTTGCAGGTATTGTGAAGGGGTGTGGTGGCCTTTCGGTGGAATGCTGGAAGGAGCTTTCGCGGTTCTAATTTCCCGCACTTTGGGCAGAAGGTCCAGCTCTGGCAGCGGGCCCAAAATTCGAGGTCGGTGGCCTCTTCAGTGTGTATGAGGGGCTCTCCGTCAGCATTTTGAAGACGATTGGTGGCAATAAAGGAGTCTTCGGAATCCGTCTGTTTCTGTTAACGTTCTTGCTGTCGCTCAGCCAGCTGGTGTTGCCTTCGTTGGGAGTCTGGATATTAAAGTATGGGGGCAGAGTGACGTCTCTCCCAAAAAGAGTGCGCATTTTCAGGTGACCAACCCGACGCCATAAGGTGACTAGCAAGGAAGGGAGTGGTACCTCAGTGTTTGGGATAGTAATGGCAGGTGACATGCAGAACATGGAATATCGATGACGTGTAACCATGGAAGACAAGAGTCGTTTAAAGTCATGAACACTTGTAAGTTTTGTGTGTGGCTATTTTAAGTGCCAAAGTGTAACAGACCATCATTGACTTTGAACAATACTTCAACTGCTAATCTTGCAAGGTCACGACAACTGAAGGAAATAACAAGGTATTAACGTGCCGCCCTACAGCGTTGTGTTGCTAGTACGTTCACGATTGCCCATAAGTTTACAGGGCCCTACTTTGAGCGTAGCAGTACAAGAACTGTTGTAATAGAACAGTATATGATAATGACATAATAGCAAACAGCAAGACATGACAAACAAAACCCTCGACAGCACCCATACATGTGATATACTAACAGTCAATCATAGCACATGTATAGGCCCGGAAGGTAAATGAAAAAAGACCTAAATCAAACCGTCAACAGTGTACGCAGGCGTTATCAGGGCGCAGCAATAACAATAACGACTGCGTACGCGGAAGGTAGCCCAGGGACCATACTAGGCTGTCTTAGAATTCGGCAGTGATGACTCTAAGACATAGTTCCTTCGTTTGGGCGCCTTAAAACTGACAAAACAATAAGAAAATAAGTCACCGACTCGAGATGTGAGACGTTGGAGATGGTATAAAACAACTGCAAGTAAATGCAAAAGACGTTAGTAAAATGGCAATGTTAAACATAACATATCGTTGACCCGGAGGTCTTGTAGTATCTGCCTTGTACCCAGACTTTCACGAGGCATTTGTAGTGTGTGTTGAGGAGGGGAAATGGAAAAGATGATATTAGATATTATAGAGGAAAAGGTTCATTATACATTTGAATCCGTGTTGATACAGACAGTGAGTGGCTTATAGTGTGTGCAGCTACTCTGTCCCCTCAGGAAATATGTTTTTGTTTTCTGATGGAAGGGAGCATGTAAGTTGTTAAAAAAGTGTCTGCGCTAGGTGGCGTGAAAATGGAAGGCATTTCTGTACTCTTGGTTGTTGTTTTGAAGGGTGTTGGTCGGTGCATTTTGCTTTTTGAATAAGTGGTTATTGGTCGTATGTATTTTCTCTAGTTGTACTACAAAACAAGAACTACTCAATATTCAGTAGAGATTGAGTATTTATAGCAAATATATTGCCTAGCTCTATTAATTCTCAATGTATTTGGGACATGCTTCAGGTTGCTATGCTCCTATTACCTCACAAGGTTCGGTATTCATGGGATGTGCGGTTCCAAAAAATTTTAAAGTTTTTGAGTTGTACCAGCTTTTCAAAGATCGTGTTATCCCCGTTGTATCAAGGTTGCTGTTAATCAATTGGGAAGGAACTTCATGAAATGCTACCAAATGATTAAACATTACCTCTGTTTCTTCGTGTTTGTTAATGAGACATTTTCTTTACAAAGTGAAGTCCTTAGAATATGCCCACAGAGGTGGCATCTAAAAATTGCCCAAGTAATCATCTGACGATTTCTTTTGGCGCAACAATTCTTCTATAGAATAAACCCAATTTACCAATAAAGTAAGTTCTGCAGATTTGTCATCTGGTGTAATATTCTTTTATTAGTTTTGTCAAGTTTGAATCTAGTTTCTTTTGTAACCATCGTGTCTGTACTAGTAGAGTACCATTGTTTCTACATCTTTAATGTTGTTTTTCTTAAGGATAGCTTAGAGTATGCGGTTTTATCGGTAATGTAGGATCTACTCCCAGCCGCATAGCTCAAACGGTCTGAATTTCTTTTTCTTTGTAGAGAACTTTCTGTTGGCAAATTGTGACAGAATGAAGCCTGTGAATGAAATCACTAGTTCTGAACACAGTGTTGTACAGAAAGAATAACAATGGCAAAAGCTCATTGAAGAGTTGTAGAAGTAACATGTACTCAGGATCTTTGCAAAGTAGCCCAAATAACTGTAACACTTGATCACGAACTATTGACCACTCTGTTGTGTGCCGATCTTGTTGGTAACTAGTGAAAGTAGTACAATGGATTAAACCTTGAGCGATTAGGTTTATTCAACCATCTCGAGTCGAGGTCCTTCACAACTACATTCAGGCATTCCATGCACTAATGAAGGGAGTGTGGGTCCTAATACACCACTCACTCTCTACAAACTACTGTGGTAACTGTCATGATTTTTTGTGGCTTTTAGTTCCAATTCCCAAGTGTAAATTGTGCTAAAAAGAGGAAGCTTCCCAAGTCTGGATGATACGAGTCTTCTCTCCGATATCCTTCATCTGCTGTAACAAGTTCTCCTTTGTAGACTAGAAGAAAATCATCTTTGGAAAACGTTTTTGTTGTGAACACGCCTCTCCCTAAAGAAACAACAACATAATAAATATAATTATACAAGATTTATAATTATCTACATGTAACAAAAAGTGTGTATGTGGACAATACAGAAGCTTGAACAATGATCGATTTGAAACTTACAGTGACATTATAGAAATGCATTGTTACAGAAAATAATGTAGGGAAAATTAAACCTAAAATAACATAGCTGTATAATCATAAATAGCTACATTTGTTGGCCTTCCACTGGATTTCTTTGTTCTCAGTTAAAAAATTATTTTTCAAGAGAGCATCAGTAGTTTGGGACAATCTTACCATGGAGCCTAGCCTGCAGGGATGGAAAATTGCTCACCATTCAAATGCAAACTGCAGACTGCAGTCACTGGCCAGTGGTAAAATGCAGACTGAGGTACAAAATACAGACTACTTACAGATTGGCCACATGCATTAATTAATATTGCTATCAAAATTAAAGGAAAGTCACAAAGGCTGGTCACACTGGGTTTTGGCTCGCCTGGTGATAAATAGATAAATTCCATGGTCACAACTTTTTACTCTGTTTCAATGAGTGAAATTGGTGCAGATTAAATCCTTCTGCAGCTCTGGAGGCTCAAAAGGGTTTTTTGCCAGTGTTGAGAATGGATCCCAAGATGCACGCAAGCAAAATTATTACCTACATGTATAAGAAAAACATGCAATACCACGCACAATGGCATTCATGTGCAAGTTGTAAATATGGCCTCCTCAAGTAAATTTAACATAATTGATCCAGAAAATGGCACATGCTAATCTTTTCTATATAACACACTCCAAGCTCTTTATGAAAAATATCGGTATATATGATCTGAATGGATTGTACTGAGAACTAGCATTGGCGATTTGGCACCAGTGTAACAACTACTAATCAACATGTCTGGATCAATAAATCAGTTTCCTTAAAAGTGGCATCCAACAAGAGAATTCTCTCCATAATACTTTGACATTTCCAACAGTCATCACGGTAAGCAGTCTGAATCTCAAGCAATGATTATCTTCTGGAATGTTTGCACATCATGACT